GTGTGTGTGTATATGCTTTTATATAGAATTCGTATATATGAAGTGGGATGTTTAGGGTTAGTATACTTAATTGTATCCGGATACATTTGTTCAGTTATATTCTTTAGTATCAGTATGTATATCGACGTGTTGTGTTGAGTGATAGTTTTTACACACACACACATACACACATATGTATATATATATATATGCACACACACACATACACACACATATATATATATATATATGTATACATGGATATCGAAGCGTGGTATTCAGGGTTGGTCTTACATATATGTATGTTTATATTTTCTTATATATATATATATATATATTCATGGATATCGAAGCGTGGTATTCAGGGTTGGTCTTACATATATGTGTGTTTATATTTGCATATATATATATATATATATATACTTATATGTACACCAATGTATATCGAAGTGTGGTGTTTAGGGTTGGGGTACCTGTGTATGTGTTTATATTTACTTAAACGTATACTTATATGTATACTTATATATGTATATATACCCATGTATATCGAAGTATTGTGTTTAGGGTTGTTTTTTATTATGTGCGTGTTTATACTTACATATATATACATATATATACTTACATATAAACTTGTATATATATGCATGTATATCCATGTTTGGTGTTTTTCTAGTCCTTCATGCGTCCTGTCACGTATGCTATAGTTCATATTCTCGCCGATTGTTGCTGCCAAACATAATTTTATTAATATATTGGCTTGCCCACTTGACAGACATCCAAACCTCATAAACTGAAACTGCAGGCGCCTGCGGACTCGACCGACACCAACGACCTATCAGAACCCCTCATTCCAAAAATAACAAAAAAGCCGGCCAATCTGATCGCGCCGTACAAAGGAGAGAACGAAGGAGAACCTACGGACGCTCGATCAAGCACACAATCACAGTCGCCTCTACAACCACCACCACTACAGCAACCACAACCACAACCACAGACAACAACAGCAGGTCACACACCTACACCTGCACCCTCTACCGATGCCTCTGCACCGTTGGTGCGACACAGCCCGAGTTTCGGACAGGTGCGCACCCAAACCCTGAGCCAGGGCCAGACCATGCCCCTGGCTGTGACTGTCCTTGTCCTGGAGGACCTGGTCCTACGCCGCCAGGTGCTGTTCCCACCCAAAGCACAGGCCGTGGGTGTGGTACTGGCACGGCTGTATGTGGGGGCTGTGCGAGACATGGTGCGGGGCTGGGGCGGTGGTGCGGACCGTCTGACTCAGAGCAAACTGCCGAGAAATGGTGGACAATTAACCAGGACCGGTTCCGTGGTTGCCCAGGTGATGCCTGGGCCTAAGCCTGAGATTAGTGGGACCGAGGATGGACAATTAACCAGTAATGTATATGTTTCCGGGGCTGCGCTCGCGTGTGCGAGGCTGCTGGCGGCCTCCGATGAAGCCAATGCCGAGCGCTTGTGTATGAGAAGGGGCAGTGGACAATTAACCAGGAGCCATGGGCCGGTGCATGGGGGTGGGGATAAGGTAGGTGGAGATAATGAAAGAAGGTCGATAGGCGGTAAGAGTGGCGGTAGCGATAAGGGTTCTAGCCCGAACGATCCGGCGGGAGATGCACGCGCTGAGGACTGTGCACTCACACCCGAGCGCAAGAGTACACATACACACACGAATACGAAGACGCATGCAGACACACGCCACACACCCACAAGCACATGTACACCACACAAGCAGCACACAAATACAATCACACACACCCCCCCCACACACACCCCCACGTCTGTAGCCTCGTCAGACACAGACGCTGGCTGTACGAGTACTCCTGAGTGTGTGCAATCGGGAGATGTGCCTATGCAAACGAGTGCACACGCCTATGAGCATGGACTATTGCAGTACACGTACCGGTTGAACTGTCTGTTGTCGTGCACGCGATTGAGTGACACTGAGGCGTCTAAGCTACTGACCATTGTCTCAGCAATACATCGGGGGATGCGGGAGAGGGGTTTGGATCAAGCGGAAGGTGTGTGTGGTGGATGAGTGAACAATCTCTTGACTCATGTGATGAAATGGAAATATGCGGATTAGAGTGTATTTCAGTGTAAATTTGTACAATGGGATATAGAGAAGAGGTTTCGTTGCAACGGAAGTTTCGTGTTATTTCTCGTGTA